ATAACTAATTGTGATTGTTGCAACTACAAAGGTAGAAGTTTTATAGTAAAAGGGGGTTAGTGGTTGATCTTACAATCTGGGGCGGAGGATCCTGGGACCATCAAGAGAGAAAAGTGGGAATGGAGTGTGGGACCCTACCCAGAGAAGCGGGAATGCAAAAGATGGAGGCAGAGATGATGACATGGAGAGACTGAGCACCTGAAGATTCTAGACTCATGAAGGGAGAGGGGATGTGTGCTGGCAGCAAGGGTACAGTGTGTGTGTGTGTGTGTGTGTGTGTGTGAGTGTGTGTGTAGGGTGTACCCTTTAGCTATTTGAATGATAGTATATTCCTGGTACACATCCAAACATAAAATAAAATAACAGAGGGAATAGAAGCAAATACTGTTGAATGATGAAGCATGCAGGGGATTGTAATCAATGAAATGAACTGATGTTCCCCCATGTAAACTTTTTTAAAAAAACTTTTTAAAAAGCAAGTGTTAATGATTTTATTTTGTTGCTTCTCATGAAGCAAAACATAACATTAATTGGATTTGTAATTTGCTATTCAATAGCAGGAATACAAAAGTTACTACAATGTCATAATACAGTCACTCGAAATAAGTGAAAACAATTTTATGTAACTTTCAGTCTATGCTTTATTACTTTAGAATTCACTATAGAAAAATTGTTGTTGTTGTGTTAAGTGCTGTCGACTCAGTTCTGACTCATAGCAACCCTGTATAGGGTTTCCACGCAGCAGATAGTGGGTTTGAACTGCTGACCTTATGGTTCCCAGTCCATTCCTGACCCTACAGCACCACACCAGGAGTAAAAGAATTAGCCTTTGTTTTTATCACCTGTCAAAAAAATATGTCAAAAGAAGAAAACACAGAAATGAAAAGAGAGCCACTAACATAAACATCTTAAGGTTTTCATTAAGATTTTTTTGAAGGAATCTTCCTATTGAAATTTTAATTCCATTTTTTAAGGTATTTTCAAAAGTATTTTTGAAGTTTTGAGACAGTGTCAAATTTACAGGAAAACTATAAGTGTAAGACAAAGATATGAGACGGCTTCAAAAAGTTCCATTATATTTTAATTTCCATTTTCTATAAACATTTTGAAGCCCCCTCATGTGTGTATATGTGTGTACACTCTTCTTTCTTAGACATTTGGAAGTAAGTTACCTACCAACATCTCATCAACCCTGAATATTTTAATGTGCATGTCTTACAAATAAGGATAGCCTGCTATATAATTGTAATATGGTAATCAGGATGTTAACACTGATCTACTACTACCATTAAATTCTCAGACTCCATTAAAGTTTTATTAATTTTTGCCAATGGGGTATTTTATATCAATAAGGAGTCAAGTCTGAATCACTCATTGCATTTACGTTTCATGTCTTTTTAAGTCTCCTTTAATCTAGAACAGTTCTTTTGTCTTTTTTTTTTATTTCTTATATCTGACAATGTTGCAATTTTATCCCTCAGTTTGGGTTTGACTATTGTTTCTTCAGGAACACTGGTGGCACAATGGTTAAGTGCTTGGCTTCTAACTGAAAGTTGGTGGTTCAAATCCACCCGTAGCTCCTCTGGAATGAAACCTGGTGATTTGTTTCTACAAAGATTATAGTCTAGAAAACACTATGGGGCAGTTCCACTCTTGTCACATGAGGTCTCTATGAGTCAAAATTAACTTGAAGGCACTTAGCAATGCTTCTTCAGGTTAGTTTCATCTTTAGGAGAAATATCACCAAGAAATGCGGCATTCTTCTCTTTACATCTTAATCAGGTGCTACAAAAATTTTTTTGTTCCATTACTGTTGAGATTCATTTTGATTACTTAGTCTACTAGGCTTCTCCACTATAAAATAACAACAGTTTCCCTTACAGTTGTAAGGTATTTCACAAAAGGAGATAGTTTGAGATGATGTAAATCTTGTTATCTCTTATCAAATGATCAAGTTATTTGTGTATTAACATCATCATAGACTCATACTAAGTTTTCTGTATTGTTGTTAAATGCTGTTGAGTCGAGTCAGTTCTACCTCATTGTTGTTGTTATTGTTGAGTGCCTTTGAGTTGGTTCTGACTCATAGTGACCCTGTATAGTGTTTCTGAGGAGTGGCTGGTGAATCTGAACCATCAACCTTGCAGTTCAAACCGACCATGTGGTCCAGTGCATTATCCCATAGCACCATACCAGTGATCCTGTTTAGGGTTTCTGAGGAGCAGTTGATGAGTTTGAACTACCAAACTTGTGGTTCAAAACAACTTTTCAATCCATTACTTTTCCTACAGAACCACATAAGGAACCTGTATTCAGGCTTTAAACTGATATGACATGGTTCAGTTATGACTGATAAAGTGAAATCAGAAAATGGCCAACTTTGGAAAATGTGGGTGAAAGATAAATGGGACAGATAACAATTAATAGTCAAAGTCCTTTCTGAAAGGAAGCCATGGCAGAGGCATAGTGAGCCCTTTGAGGAGCCTGACGTAGGAGACTGGACTCTCACCAGGACTGGAGAATGACACACATTCACAGCAACATGGTCATCACTGCCTTGCACTGCTCCACTTAATGGCTTCAGGACTAAATTGTTTAGGAAGTATTCAGAACAGAAGAACAAACTGATAAGAATAGGAACTATTGCTAACAAATTTAGGAACTGCTTTCAATATTACATAAAAAAATATATTGGTAAATAGTTTAAAATTTTACCTTTCAGAAGACATGAAATCATAAGCCTTTATAATTATGCATAATTAAGCTTTTATTTGTTGTCTTTATTGATTACAAAAGAAGTTAATATGAAATTGGTCATATTGTACATGTGTAAGTAAAGAAAAAGTGGTTACGAATTGGGCTGCTAACCTCAAGGTCGGCAGTTTAAAACTATCAGCTGTTCAGCGGGAGAAAGAGGAGGCTTTTTTGCTCCCATAAAGATTTGCAGCCTCAGAAACCCTGTGCAGGGTCACTATGAGTTGGAACTGACTCCATGGTATTTAACAACAACAACAAAGTAAAGAAAATACTTTCTTGATGTGAACAATGTGCAAATCAGAAAGATGTACTGTGTTAAGAAGACAAAGAGCCAAGATCAAGTTATTGGAGCATGTTGATGGTTTTTGAAAAACCAAGAGGTCATTTTACTTATTCATCATTCTTTAAGACAAAGAAAGAAAAAATAAGTGCTTGGATTGCTTATCAATTGTATATGTGTGTTCCTTAAAAAAAAACAAAAAAACAAAACAAAACAAAAAAAAACAGAAAAACCCACAGAACTCTAGCAAATTTATAAATTAGCAAATACAAAAGTTGAATTAAATGATGAGGCTGTGTTGTTAATTAAATAAAAGCATGTAAACAAAGAAAAAACAAAGACCCTAGCTGGTTTCTAGCTTTTGTAATCATTTGTATTTAAGGTATTCATCTAATCAGACATAGGATACACTAGTGATTGTGATACATTGACCACTAAGAGCAAGAGCTTCAGGAACCCAGTTCAAATGTTAACTCTAGCAATGTTAGTCTTTTAACTACACTGGTCTTAATTTACAAGGGTATTTTGAAGAACAAATAAAGTATACAGTATTGCCATGTTTTGAATAAATGTAATAAGGAGCTCTGGTAGCGTACTGGTTATGACTCAGGCTGCTAACCTCAAGGTCAGCAGTTCGAAACTACCAGCAAGTCCACAGGAGAAGGATGAGGCTTTCTGCTCCCGTAAGGATTTACAATCTCAGAAACCCTATTCAGGGTTGTTCTGAGTTGCACCCGACTCCACGGCACATAACCACCACCACCAATGATATTCATAAGTGAAAATTCTGTCTGGGCACATTGGCCATATTCCTGTTCCTAGAACACCTTCAGTGTTTCACCTCAGAGCATCTGTATTTAATGTTCTTCTGCCACAGAAGTTATTCCCAGGATATTCACAGGTCTTGCTCTCTGGGCTCCTTATCAGCTCAATTCTGATGTTACCTTCCCATTGTGACCTTCCTCAGAACCACATTTAAGATTATACCACTTCTAACACTTTCCTCCTGTCTCTTCTCCAAATTGCTCCTTAATATGTACCACTATCTAATATTCTAGATGCTTTACATTTTTATCTTGCTTGTTGTCAGTCACCCTCACTACAATGTAAGATCCATTTTTGTCAGTGTTTTACATTGCTGTATCCCCAGATCATGCAACATACCTGGTAACACATATTGGGCACTCATTTGTTATATGAATGAATGAACAAAAGGATGAACTTTTCAAGTTTTCCTTTCTCCTTTGTTATATTGTTTTGATCCTTTCCTCAAACACAAAAATACATATGTAAATGAAATAAGAAAAATAAGTAGCTTAAAGCAAGTTAACTAATGGGGGAAAATAACACAGAACAAAGAAGTACTTTGTTGGGGTACTCCTCGTGTTTGGAGTACCCCAACAATCCAATGGTGATTAAAACCACAGCAATGTAACACAGACTGTCTCTAAGGCAAGTCTAGCCTAGATCAGCCCTGGTCAGTGATTGTTATTTTAAATCAACTGCTCTCCTAGGTAAATGCACAGACCAGGATAATATCAGCAAAGTAAAACAGTATGCTTGTTGTTGTTGTTGTTAAGTGCTGTTGAGTCAGTTCTGACTCATAATGACCCTATATAGGGTTTCTGAATAGTGGCTGGTAGTTTTGAACTGCTGACCTTGCAGTTAACAATCCAGTGCTTATCCTACACTGTCACACTAAGACTTCAAATATTAAACTAGACGTTATCAATCTTTTCTATGTGATTAATGAATAAATACAACCTGTAAAACAAATCATACATACTTTCTCTTAAGAAAAAGAAACAAAATTTAAAGTTATAAATTTCACTTTTGAGTTTAGGATAGACATATTTGTTTGAAAATGGTGAATTTGGCAATATCTTGATAAGCAACAGTATAGTATTTCATTAAAAATAATAACATAAGAAAACAGATCTCTCCTCATGCCAATTTGTTTGTAGATGTTTTATTTCATATATTTATATATCTATAAATAAGAAATAGTGTTGTCACATGGCATGAATAATTCTAGTCAGTGAATAGCATTCACATATAATGCAAAGTCTTACTGAGACTGAACTGTTAAATATTCTATAAAGGAACCACATTTTAAAAAATAGCACACATAAAATAGTGGGTGAGGAATGTTTTAAAATACAGTATATATTCCTACATCAGAAAATTCATACTGATGGAAAATGTAGTTAAGAATATTTTTACACAATCAACATCTTCTCTCAACCTAACAAGCATAAGTATGGCTCTCATGCAGTTAAATAACTGCTACTTTGAGTACCAGCCAGTCTCTCATGATCAGTACTATTGACAATATTGTACTTCAAAAATCCAGTTGTCAAGGAATTTCAAACTGCGTCTACATCAGAAATTGTTGCTTTCCTCACTATACACACTATGCTGTGGGTTTGCTTAGAAACTCCTTATTGAAAAATCGTCTGGCTTCAACGTTACTAAGCGAAACAGAGCAACGAGATGGGTTCTGTCTTCTATATTCAATGCTTTCAATGATGGCATTCTTGATCTCCTGAAAACAGAGGCAGAGATGCATAATTAGTAATGCTAGAAATTTACTTAAACATTTATTTTTTTGTCAAAACAAAATCTGACCTATTCATTGCAGTAGTCTATTTGAAAGAAAGAGAAACGTCTATGAGTCATACATGTACACTTATATTCCACAGTCTGTTATCAACCCTAGTTTAAGCTCATATCCAGCACTTCTTCTTTTCTCCACCAGAGAAAGAAGTATTCTTGGCGAGTTATGGATTTTGCACTGATAAAATTGGGAATAAAATATTTTTAATACAGTAAATGAAATGTAGAGTTGTTGCTAAGTGTTGTCAAGTCAGTTCCATCTCATAGTGACCCTGTCCAAATTGGACTCATAGTATAGGGTTTCTGAAGAGCAGCTGGTGGGTTTGAATGCCAACCTTGTGGTTCACGGTACAGTGCAGATCCTACAGCACCATACCAGGAGTCCAAATGTAGAGTAGAAACCATTAATTACTACATCTGTAATATAATTTTTTTGTACTGAGTACCACCAGTTTCTGTCAAGTTGATTCTGATTTACTGTAGACCTCATATGTTTCAGAGTAAAACTGTGCTCCATAGAGTTTTCATTGACTGTGATCATTATGAAGCAGGTTGCAAGACTGTCTTATGAGATGCCCCTGAGCGGATTCAAACCATCAATCTTTCAGTTAGTAGCCAAGTAAGTAACCATTTGCACCACATCTTTGTGGTGTCCATGGAAATGAGGCACCACAAGGATGTAAATCCTTTCACTAAGTCTTACAGGAAGAGATGCAGCCAGAATGCTCCTCGAGAATGAGGATGGCTAGACTTCATCTCACATATATTGGGAATGCTATGGGGGGACCACTCCTTGGAGAAGGACATCATGCTTGGTAAAATAAAAGGTTAGAGAGAAAGAGGATGGCCCTCTAAGAAATGGATTAGTACAGTTCTGCAACAATGGGCTCACACTACCAAACTGGGCAGTCTGCTGTCCTGTTCTGTCACAGGATCACTAAGAATCAATACCTCACAATAATAGGAAATCTTCTATGGCGCAAAAAGTTACCATGTGCAGATGCTAACTGAAAGGTTAGAAGCTTGAGGCTACTCACAAGTAGATCACAAGAAAGATCTGGAAATCTACTTCCCAAATAATCAGCTAACAAAAATTCTATGGCGCACAGTTCTACTCTGACATATGAGGGTCAACTCAATGGCAACTGATTTTAATGAAGATAGCAGGCATTGCTAAGAATTGCTGCTTGTTTGCCTAAATAAAGTTATAAAATTGGGTGTCTTCTATCTAGAAAATGCAATGTTCTTTTTATTGATTTAAAAAATTCTTTTTATTCACAATATTCTTTATACACTTTCAAATTAATGGTGATCTTAAGAAAACACAACCTTTAAGAATTGTTAATACAATTATCATCTGTTTCTGATACGAAGGTAGACTAGTTATGAATTTGTAAAGCAATTATTGCAGAGTGATGAAAATGAGCTTTGGAAGAAAAGCCTTGATATTATCTTGGCTCTGTTGCTAATTTTAAAACCCTGTTCAAATTGGAAAAATTACATTGGCTGGGTTCACAGGATTTCATCTATCAGTGAGACACAAATTTCAGACCATAGACAGAGAAAGTCAAAGGTACTCCATGATCCCCTCTATTCTCTACCCCAGGGGCAGTTAAGAAACCTTAAGGCATTATCTTCAAACTTTTAGTCCTGGTGTGGTGCTTTTAGGCCAGTACTGGACTTCAAACCACAAGGACAATAGTTCAAACCTACCAACTGTTCCTCAGAAACCTTATACAGGGTTGCTATTAGTCAGGACCAAATCCACAACACTTAACAACAAAAACAAGTAGAAATACTTGAAAAGTCTGAACATTTCAGGAAGCATGGCACATCCCACCCAGAGCTGGTAGGGTTCCTTCACCTTGGAGACATGTGTACAGAGGGTTCTCCATCCCTTAGAAGCTCACTGGGCAAGTCTGGGCAAGTGCCCAGGATAGAGGTATGCTGACCTGGGCAGTGCTAACACAGAATGGTCATCCTGTGACTTAATTTATGTCAGCTTCACTGGACAGACTCCTCTTTAACCACCAATGAATCAAAATTTACTAAGAAAAAAGAATGTCATAGGTATGTGGTAATTTATACATTTCAGTGTTATATTTGTTGTTGTTGTTAAGTGCCTTCGAGTCGATTCCAACCCATAGTGACCCTATATAAGGTTTCCAAGGAGCAGCTGGTGAGCTTGAACCACTGACTTTGCAGTTCAAATGACTTTGCAGTCTGATCCATTAGACCACAGCGCCACACCAGGACTCCCAGTGTTTTATAGAGGGCTTAAAAAAGTTCTTGAGAAAATTCCATTATCTTTTAATTCCATTTTTCCATGAACTTTTTGAAGCCCTCTTTTATAAATATGTTTTCTGGGGAAAATGCAAACATTACTGATTCTTATATGTGAAGTAGATTTATCTTCTGACACCTTGAGTAAAGAAACAATTCATTTTAAGGTTACATAAAAGACTTCAGGTCCCCTGGAATCCATTATGGAAGGAGGGCAGGCCCTGGAAATGCCTGAGAAAGAATTCAGAAAAATGATTATGAAATGTTTTAAAACACTCTACAATGGAGTTGAGAAAACTAAGGAAGAAGTCAGGAAAGTGCTACAAGAGCAATCAAACAAGAAAGATACAGCCTTGGAACAATTCAAAACATACAGAAAGAGGTCCAAACAATCAATAACAAAATGGCAGAAATAGAAAACACTCTGAAAGGGCAGAGGAATAGAATAGATGAGATTGAAGGAAGAATCAGCGAGCTGGAAGACAGGTCTCTCAATACCACTAAAATAGAAGAACAAACACAAAAAAGGATAAAAAATTCTGAAGATGGT